AGGGGAAGAATGACCAGTCACAACCCGAGACACCCGTCCCCGACCATACTGAGGCTTTCGGATGCCATAGGGACTCACTTTATTTGCCTCCCTGCAACTAGGCTCAAATTCTATTCGTAGTGTACTTTCNTCTCACTTTGTGCACAGTGAGAGCTTGGCAGTGAGTACCAAAGTTCACTTCCTTGTATCTCACTGTACGACGATGACAGGTGGGATGAATTGGGTAAATGGGTAAATGAGGCGTTAAATCCTGGACGAGTGGGTGCTCAGCTGCTCCTTAGTGGACGGACGAGAATGACTGCAGAGGGAATCTAACTAACGGAGTCCCATGTTCTGCGTTCACATCTGTTGTATGGCGAATGAGCCCCTGGGGAGTTACTGAGAACTACGCATCAACACTGCCTCCTTCAGTAATTGGTTGTACAAAGGCCGGAGGTGTCCTTTNGCCATGGGACCTCCGATTGCTCGTTTCTAACCTATTTGTAGAGGTTAGTGCTAGTATATTCAAGGCGACATCTCAATTATCTAGTTGTGTTGTACTTTATATACTAACATATCCCATTGTTTATTTTTCTCGCTGCAGAATCTCAATTATAGGTGTAGTGTTGACAATTATCTGTAGATTTCGTGCAACACATTGTTCTTGTATGTCGAATCCTGTTTCTTCCGTGTGTATATGAGTAGGTCTTGACTGGTGACTTGGTTGCGGTTCTCAGTGGCATATTTATATCAATCGTGATAGATAAAACGTAAAAAATTACTTGCCGCAAGTCGATGGTCAGCTGACAAACATGTGTTAAGCAAATTCAGAAGAAAGTCAATTGCACGTTTGATTATATACAGCCGATTCTGAACCGCACAGCAGAATGGTGCGTGACTCATGTTGTGGGATCATTTTTGACGGTTTCGGCCAGTGGCAAGTCTCTTCACCCTTGTAGTTTTACAACTCGACTTTTGAGAACAGTACATTCTGTCGTTGCATTATCCCAGCATTGTCTTCATATCAACCGCAGATGGTATGCCGGTTCCTCGTTCATTTCGGATTGTCCTGAACACTATCGGGTGTTATTTTCGTCCGTTACACCAATGTTTCCCGTTACAGAGACCTAGTTCTTACGACTCATTGTTATCCGCCTCTGTCCATTAGTTTTTACTGCAATTCTTTTGTGGTTGTGAAGATTACATATGGACTGGTGGTTTATTGTAAGCAAACCCGTTCTCTCAGTATTCGTTACATGCTATTTCCGAGAAGTTCCAGGAGCTTTTTGCAATTCTTTTCTTGGTTTGGGGATACATTAACTGTCCAAAACTATTACTACTTTCTCGATCCAAAGATGTTTTTGCCATTTAAACTCTATAGCTTTGTGTATAACTTTCGCGTGCCATTTCATTAATTGATCTTATGTGAAATAAATTGTTTTAAATGAAGCTATTATACCGCGCACCCAGTCGGTACCAGAACTTGAGATGGGATAATTATGTTAGTTATTTAAGGACAATTATGTTGGTCTTCTGTGTTAACCTTACCGGATTAATTTCTTGTTCTTTTTAGGTAGTACTACAGTCAGCAGATTACAACAAACTATCGCTGTGCGTTCTTGCATTCACTGCTCTACTCTATCCGCTTCAGTATATGTTCCCAATCATTCCACTTTTACCACCCTGCATGGCTGATGCCGAACAAGTGAGTGCGCAACTGTTTTGCTTCAACTCCCCTTTGTGCTTTATTGGTCTATTTATTGCTCAGCAAAAAGCGTGGGATCGAGTAATTTCAAACTGTACACTGAATTCATGCTTCTGATTTTCATGGTGTATGTATCAATCAAAATGAGCGCCATAGGTGCGCAATCGCATAATTCTCCAAAGCAGAAAATGTGGTGAACTGATTGTTTTTTTCCAATATTTTTTTCCTTTGTCGTCATATGACGTTGTCTAATCTGGTTTGTTTCGCAGTTGATAAAAACAGTACAATTTGTGTAGCCTAACATTGGTACAAAACAGAGAGCATACGGAAACAAACCAGTATTAAACTGGAGTTATAAGGTAGATTCTTGCCGTCATATAAGTTTGTGATATGGGCCTCACCCCCTCCTATATTATGAAGGTGTTTCATCAATCCGTTCCCTTCGAGGAAACTCGTTCGATACCACCCCATACAGTGTGCGCCGATAATAACGCGCATCGAGAAACTTCTTCATGATGCGATGTTATTGTTTCCGATGTTGATTTATCATTAACAGACTAATAGCTTTTTAATCGCTTCAGCCATATAACCCCATACATGTTTGTATATCTGACCAGTCAGGAGACTTGTGGTCGTACAAGTAACTTCTGTTTGTATGAGAGATATGGAGGATTCGATTCAATTATATGAATTCGTCGTGTAAATGAGGCGTGAGCTGAAAACTAAGAAGCACCGGACAGATGTTTCGATCTGATTGGGTCTCATCAGCAGTAAAACTCTCAAACCAACTAAGGATCGAAGCCGGAACCTCACACGTGGAAGACAAGAATACTACCCATTCGGCCACCGGGAAGATGGTCCGTTTCTCATTTTCAATACCCACGATATAGCACAACCCATCTTCGCGAGCATCAGTCGAAACAGCTGTCCTAGCTTTTCAGTTCACGCCTCATTTACACGACATAGTTATCGTATAAGTTCTGTTTGCCTTATGACTGTTGGTTTTAGCTGTTTTAAGTGCGTTCGGTTTTCGATTCATATATCAATAGAATAGTTCACTATGAAGAACTTTGACGCACATATAAAAGTCTATACAACACCTTGTTACGCAATAAAACCACAACATTGAAACATCGAAAGAATAAGCGTGTTTTATTTAATGGTGCGTCTCAGTGGGGAATACTGTCAGTGGCCAACCCTGGAGAAGGGCACCCATGCCAAGATATTCTTCTGTGGTTTGTGGTTTATTGATCTTGTCTGTTTCTTAACGGTTCCTCTACTAAATAAATTTCACAACCGAGTTTTTATATCTACTACATCTCTTTTTAGTGAGATGAACCGTGGTTAAATTTTACGACGTTTTGAGTGCTAGGGTAAAGTGTGTTGTTCCCTAAACGGTGATCATTTCCAATAAGGCAGACAACAAGTAGATATTTCAATTCAGCGAAGATTGAAGTTTCTTCAGATGCATATATTTCCACCGAGGCCAAAACGCGCTCACAAATTTATTTCGTGCCTAAGTTAAAAAATAAAAGCACTACGATCGTCGTTCCACGCCCAAATGACAAATTCGCTCGACCAGCGGTTCCTACTTAGTGAGCTTCGGATTTATTCTTGATGACTGTTTTAATACCCGAGTCCTGAAGACCGCTTCGTATGTCTCTTGGGTTTAATGAAGATAATGCTTTGAGCCTTCAACATAACGCAAGTCCCCGAATCTATCAATGAGATTCAGGCGTGTAAATTTGCCGGTCTACTTCTTGTCACCATATTCATCAGTGTCTCTTGGAGAGTGATAGCGCTTTGTCATTGTCTATTCACGTGATCCTGTGAAGGGTATGACTTCACAAATCTTGAGGTAAGACCGTGAATTGAATTGACGTGTATCGAACCGTGTGACCACATGAATTTTGAGAGACAAGTAGTTCAGTAACGTTAGTTCGCGTGCTGACAGTCTCAGATTCGGTTTTGGACTGAGCCATACACTGTGAGCAACCTTAGCGCACTTCAGTACAACTTGTGGTTTGAAATACTTCCCGCTGAGATATAATCCTGTCATATATTGTTCTTAGCTTCGTAGACACGGACCTCTTCCGTTTTCACAATATCACACAACTATAGTTAACTGCTTTTGCATTGTTGTTTTTCAAATGCCGTGATCCAAACATCGGAAATCCGTTGCAGGTTTATTTAGATCCCTAAATCTCTTCTTAATCATCATCTTGGTCCTTTTCAACTTGTATTTTAATCAGTCATACTCACTCTACTATGTACTGAATTCCACATGATATCAAATTTGTGCATGCATATGGGGGTGGTAAACTGTTGTGCGATTCGATTTGTTGATTGACCTTTCAAGTTGGTCGAGTGTATACTGCAGCAGTTTGGCCAGTTCTGCTATACGGTGCAGAACCTTGACCATTAAGAAAACAGGATAAAGATAGACTGTCGGTGTTTGAACACCGCTGTTTACGCAGCATTGCACGAATCTGGTGGCGCAGCCGAACGAGCAATGCTGCGGTTAGGCGTAGAGTTTTAGGTATTCGTGGTCGCCCACTGGAGCAAGTGGTCGACCTCTATAGATTACGTTGGTTGGGGCATGTTTTACGTATGCCACAAAATAGATCGCCACGGCGAGCGATGTTTACCGAGGCAGGTAGTGGATGGAAGAAAGCCAAGGGTGCTTAAAATAAGACCTGGAACGAGGCTGTGAAAACCCTAACCAGGAGTCTGGGTCACATAGGTCCCGTTAGGTTCCCTTGCTGGGGACCTCGGGACGATGGTCACCGATGGTTAAAGACACTGAGTGATATGGATGCGTGTCGTAGACAGTGGCGTTCTTGCATTCTGTCAATTTCTCCGCAACATTAGTCCACCGAAATTCTAAAGCTTTCCTTGGATCCTACTTTCAACCTTTCCTGTCTTTCTCCTAATGCTCGTCCAAATGGGCCACCAAAAGACAGCAACCAAAACCGGCGCACAATAGTGCTTGATTAGTAGTTGTATAAACTGAAAACCGAAACTTTCAGGTTGGCTACAATCGAGACGTCGATGATTTCAAGGGCACTTACTGGTTTTCTAATAACTGTAATGATAGTAACACGAAACTCCTCAAATTATCACTACTGGGGAGTAATGCATTTGCTTTAGATGACTACCAGATGTGAATTATTCTAACAACCCGAATGGATATTTTCCCAGTTTCATGTTTCAAACATTTTCCCATATATCATCTGCACTTCAGTTGCTTATCGCACCAACCCCTTATATAATCGGAGTGCCTACATCGTTCTACTCAGCGCGTAAGGTTTTTCGAATGCCAAAGGACGTATGGCTGGCTAATTTGGATACACAAGAAGTAAGTGCTTGCTTACCCTCATGTACTCTCTGTTTGCACGACTTATTCTGTCATTACAATGATGAAAAAAAAACGTTCACGTGTAATAAGCAGCATCTCAAGCGTACGTTTTGAAAATGGATTTATTCAGATATATAATGACAAGTTTCAGAGTTTTTTCCTGCTTGACCTGATCAGTCTACATCAAATCAAGCTTCGCGCGAATAGTTGCGGGCACGAGCATACACAAATAGCTTTTTGGGAAAAAGAAGTGTACGTAATCTTTCGACTCCATGTGCTCTCTTTTCGGCCGATTTTCGAAGACATCTGATTCTGGAGCAATGATGCCGCCGTTTGTGATTCTCGACTGAAAATCGCTACTTAAAAGGTTACCGGGACATAATGTGAAATGATTTGAGCTCGGGATTTGGATTTTGGTGTTGGCGTGTTCCAGCCCGGAGAACACAGCAACACCAACAGTCACTGAGACCAGCCATTAGAAGCGTAGTTTAATCTAGAAGGGATTGTATTTAACATCCTCGAAAATCCCTAACCAATGGTCTAGGTTACATGAATGGTTCTAGGTTTCCCTATTTGAAATCTCTGGACCAAATCTATCAGTGATTAAATAATGGTTCGTATTACCGAATGCTGTGAACAATGAAACTCGCCTTACATGTACTCACCTATTGATGCCCACTTTACTTGTATGCCACATCTTGTTAGTGCTCTCAGCTTTTAGTCTTTTTTTATTCATCTTATTGATCGACCAAATGGGTAACTGGAAGATAGCACCGGGAACCAGGATTTGAGGATGCATGGTAAATGGTTGGTTACATTGACACTCTGAATATTTGAAAAAGGCCAGTAGTGTTATGCAGGATGTCTGCTGCAGCGACATTTCTTTCGCATATCATCAGTTATCTCATGCGGATTCCAAATGGACATTATATATATGTTTATGGGGTATGCTGACAAATAAATTCAAAGGTGAGATTCATACAACTTGTTCACAAGACAGTGTAACTAGTTTAACAACTTTTGTTCTTGATAATCGTCAGTATAGTTTAATCGGTTTATTAACATCCTGTCTTCGCATGTCCACGTGTTCTAATTTTCCCTTACCACCTTATACCTACTGAAACACACACACACACA